CACCACCTCCCTGGGCATCATCACCTCTTGGGGCATCGCCATATCCCTGAGTATTGTCACCTCCCTGGGCAATGCTGTGTCCCTGGGGCATTGCCACCTTCCGGGGCATTGTCACTTCCCAAGGCATCATCACATTCCTGGGCATTGTCACCTTCCAGGCCAGTGCCACTTTCCCAGAACATCACCATGTCCCCAGGCATTGCCACCTCCCAGGGCATCACCATGTCCCTGGGCACTGTCAGGTCCTGGAGCACTGCCATGTTCCTTGGCCTCATCGTGTCCCTGGGCATCATCACGGCTTGGGGCATTGTCACCTCCCAGGGCATCGTCATGTCCTGGGGTATTGTCACCTCCCAGGGCATTGTCACCTCCCAGGGCATCACAACCTCCCAGGGCATTGCCACCTCGCTGGGGCACTGCCAGCCCAGCTCAGGGGGCTGACCCTGCCCAGGATGGGCACAGGGGACCCCCCCAAAATGCCAGGAGCCCTCACCTTCTCCTTGCGGGCCAGCGTGGGGTGCACGAAGCGGCGGTAGAGCAGGCTGGCCCCCCGTGTGTACGGGGACAGCAGCCAGAGCACAAAGGCCATCTTCACCTCGTAGTAGAACGGGAACCTGGGGCACAGGGGGACACTGTGGGCACGTCCTGCTCCCCCCAAACGCCAGCCCTGGAGACCCCACGTCGGATCCACCCAGGGACGGGGAGGGGGGGCCCTTCCTTGCACCCCTCGGGGCCCCTCCCCAGCTCACCAGGAGATGAGGAGGTCAGTGAAGGTCTCCGTGGCCATGAAGAGTGCAAAGACAATCCAGTACATCATCCAGCGGACCTGTGGGAGCAGGGAGCACGTCAGTGGGGGCTGGAGCTTGGGAAAAGGGGGCTGGAGACTGGCAAAGGGGGACTGGAGACTGGCAAAGGGGGACTGGAGACTGGGAAAGGGGGACTGGAGACTGGCAAAGGGGGACTGGAAGCCATTAGTGGGGGCTAGAGCCCAGGAAAGGACTGAAGACTGGGAAAAGGGGACTGGAGACTGGGAAAGGGGACTGGAGACTGGGAAAGGGGGACTGGAGCCTGGGAAAGAGGGATTGGAAACTGGAAAAGGGGGATTGGAGCCTGGGAAAGGGGAACTGGAGTCCAGAGAAAGAGGGGGGCTGGAGCTCAGGAAGGGCCCAGGGAAAGGAGGGGCTGGAGCCCATCAGTGGGGACTGGAGCCAGGGAAAGGCAGGGACTGGAGCCCGGGAAGCAGGGCTGGAGCCCAGGTAAGGGACTACTCACGTATTCCCGGATGTTTTTGGCCTTCACAGCCTTGTAGGACGCGTAGGCCGGGTAGAGCATCCCAAAAACCAGCCTGTAACGCAGAGGGGGGGTGAGGCAGCCCGGCCAGCCCGCGTAGAGCAGCAGGAACAGGGACCAGCAGAGCCGGCGGCCCCAAAGCCAAAGCCGGGCTTTGACAGCCCCCAGCACCGCCCCCACCCCGGAGCCGCCGGGAAAAGGGTCGGGAAGAGAGTCGGGAAGAGGGTCGGAGCCACTCGGGAGCCGCCGTGGGGAGCCGGCCATGAGCACCGAGTCACTCCCACGCCCACGGGGACTGGCTGGACCTGTCGGGGCGGTGGCAGGGGGAGGTGGCAGGGCACGGGCTCAGTCCCCGCCGGTGCCAACCCCCATCCCGGGGGTGCCACCCCCAAAACACCCACCTCGTGTGCCGGGCACAGCCGGGCACCCCGACACCCTCCTGTACCTGGGGAGGGGGAGCTGGGGGCACCCACGGCTCCCTGCTGCCCCACGGGGGGCTCCCCCGGCACGGGGGGCCACTGGGCACCCAGCCCAGCTGGCCACGGCGGGGGAGACAGGGGAGTGAACAGGGCTGGGGGGGGGACCCTCCTGGTGATGCAGGGCCCCCCCAGTTGATGCAGGGACCCTCCTGGGTGATGTGGAGACCCTACGAGCAGGGACCCCCTCCAGGCGATGTGAGGACCCTTAGCAGGGACCCCTTTAGATGATGCAGGGACTCTATGCAGGGACCCCCCCCCAGTTGATGCAGGGACCCCTCCCAGGCAATGCAGGTGACCCCCTCCGAGCAAGAACCCCCTCCAAGGCGATGTGGGGACCCTCTGGGCACGCCCCCCTCCTCCAGGGCGATGCAGGGACCCCTCCGGGGCAATACAGGGGACTCTCCCAATTATTGATGCAGGGGACCCCAGGCCGAGCTCGCCCCCCGGGACGGGCAGGAAGGGTCGGCAGCAGCTCAGGGACGCATTTTCAGGGGTGGGGGGTGGCGGTAGGGGGCTGGTTACCCCCAGAGAAGCGATTTGGGGCCGCCCCCCCCCCAAACCCCGCCTGGGGCCGCTCCGTTAAGTCCCCGCTGCGGGACCGGCACGGGGACCTCCCGTTAACCGAACACCCGGCGGGGGGACAGCGGAGCGGGGGCTCCCCCACCCCGCGCCCCTCCCCATCACACCCCCCCGGACCCCACTCACTCGATCACCCGGCTGAGGATCCAGGACACCATGGTGCGGGCGGGGCCGGAGCCTCGGGCGGTGCCGGGAGGGAGGGTGGGAGCTGTGCCCGCCCTGGGGGCCCCCCAAAAGCCCCCCCCAAAACCCCTCCCGAGGAAACGAATCCCAAAAGTTGAAAGTTGGAGGCACCGACCCGCGCAGCCGCCGTGCGGGCCCCACCTCCCGCTCTTAAAGGGGCAACGCTGTTAAAAGGGCAACGCGTCTTAAAAGGGCAACGCGTCTTAAAAGGGCAACAGCGATTCTTAAAAATGTCGCTGTGGTTCCCGGAGCTTTGATAGATCGTATTTTTATATTTAAAAACTCCTCTAATACGTGAAATATTAATGTACGATATACAATATATCCATGTTAAAACGTATTTTTAATATATAATGTTTTAAGTTTATATAATAATTCATATGTATATTACTTTTTATTATATGGGTTTTATTTTTATTACCTTTACTTTTAATTTACTTATTATAATTTTATCTATAAAGAATTTCTATATTAATATATAATATTTTAATTCTATGTTTCTATGTTAATAAATAATATTTTATATAAAATATCAATATCTTTATATTTATCAAAATATATTTAATTAAAATATTATGTATTCCTATTATATTTGAAATTCATATATTATATATTTCTTTTTTATATACAATAATACATTATTCCTAATATAGTAAACATAATGTATTAATATACAACATATTATATAAAATATGTATTAAACATTCCCTCGTATAAAAATATCCAAACATCGCTTTTAAATATTAAATATTAATCTATTAATCAAATTAATAATATTAAAGGTATATTTTTAAAAATATTATGAAAATTAAGTTTTTTAAGCAGTAAACAGGTAGAGAAGGAGGGAGGTAAAGCCCCTTTGTGGATTGCTGAGGAATTCTTTTGGGGTTTGGAGGGGGTGTGATGCTTTTTGTGATGCTGGAAGCAGGTAGAGAAAGGGGACAAAGCCCCTTGGAGTGGTGACGAGGATTTCTTTTCTCTTTTCCTTTCTCTCTGGTGTGCTGCTGAACCAGGGCCAGGGCTCTGCAGAGCCCTGTAAGATGCTCCAGGGAAAACAGAACCTGCTGGCATCTCCTCTCTGGGCCACCTTCCCCTTGGCTCTGCAGCTCTCGGAGTGTTCCGGGGCTTCCCAAATCCCCCCTCCCGGTCAGGGACAGCGCCGAGGTGCCAGAACCCCCCTGCAGTGCTCCCTGGGCTTTAAAATCCGCCTTTTCCCTGGAGGGAAACTGAGGCAGGGAAGTGTGGAAGTGCCCCGGGAGCCGCCAGGTTCGGGCTCTGCAGCCACCCAGATCCAATCCTGCTTCCCAAATCCATCCGTGCCCCGGGGGGGGCCTCGTTGGCCCGAGTGGATCTTTATTTGTGAGCCTAATTGGTGGCTTTTCACATGCAAATTTACACCCCTGGGAGACAGGGAAAAGCTCCCCTGGAAAACCAGTTCGGTGGAGACTCCCCTCCCCTGGGGAAACACCTCCTGCTTCCCACCCCCACCGCGGGCCAAGGTTTCTGCTGGAAAAAAAACCACCAGGCAAGCCACGTGAGGGGCCTGGAGCACCCCAAAAATGAGGGATTCGCCCTTCCTGGAGCTGTGGGATGCTGGGTGGGGCAGGGCTGGAAGGAGCAGGAGTGGCTGGGAGGACACATGGAAGCTGTTGGCAGACACAGGCAGGGCTGGGGGTCACAGTGTGTTTATTGGGGGGTGTTTTGGTGGGCACAGACACCTCGGGTACCCGCCTGGCAGCGGGGCCATGGGCACAGGGAGCTGCTGGATGTGCACGGAGGGGGATGGGAGGCAGCCCTGCTGCTGCCTCGGGACATCCCATAGGCATCCACCTCAGAGCATCCTGCTGGCTTGGAGCATCCCATTGTCCTCCGGGCATCCCATCTGCATCCAGCTTGGAGCATCCCATCCTCCTTGGAGCATCTCAGTGGCTTAGAGCATCCCATTGTCCTCAGGGCATCCCATCCCATTGTCCTCAGGGCATCCCATCCCATTGTCCTCAGGGCATCCCATCAGAGTCCACCTCGGAGCATCCTCCTGGCCCTCCTCCTGGCCTCGGAGCACCGTGTCATCCTCGGCATCCCACCTTCATCCACCTCAGAGCATCCCGTTGTCCTCATGGCATCCCAATCCCACCCCACGCACCTCAGCCATCCCATCCACTCCGGAGCACCTCGTCAGCCTGGGAACACCCCAAATTCCCGGGAGCTCCCTACCCTTCCCGTACAAATCCCCCCACTCTGTGCCCCCCTCAGCCCATCACCCGAGCGGGCAGAGACCCCTCAGCCCCCTTAGCCCCCCGGGGGTGCGAGGGCTGTGCCACCCACCCTCCTTCCCTGCATCCCACGGGATGGCTGCACACGGAGAAACCGGGAGCACTGAGGGGAGGGGGGAAACTGAGGCACTGTGGGTCTGGGGGCTGTCCTGGGGGTGGGTGACACCGGAGGGGCCGGGATTGGGGCTGGGAGCGGGCTGTGACCGTGGAGTGGGGCACGGCGGGCACATGCATGTCCTCGGGCAGGACGTGGCGTCCCTCTGGGGGGGGTCCCACCCCCGGCTAGAGGCTGAGGTTCACCACCTCGTGCCGGTACACCAGCGTGTTGGCCTTGAAGCTGGGGGCCAGCAGGAGCTGCACGTCGGAGGCCGGCACGTAGCGGAACGCCCGCGGCGCCTGCACCGACAGCTCCTGGAACTTGGCGAACTTCTGCTTCTCCTCCTCCCACAGGTACACGTGGGTGAAGGAGAAGTCGCTGCCCAGCGCCAGGTACTGCCACTGCCCCACGGCGAAGGGCTGCATCACCATGGAGCCGCGGGACGGCAGCGTCTGCACCTCCACGAAGCGCTGCCCTTCCCAGCGCACCACCTTGGAGTCGCCGATGTAGCGGCTGAGGCAGAGGAACTGGTCCCGCTTGGACCTGAAGTGCTTCACCATCTGCACGTCCAGCATCTCCCCCACCTCCCCCTGCGCCACGAACTGCTTCTGCGCCCGGCTCCACTGGTAGATCACGGGCGCCTGGGAGCTGCTGGAGATGATCAGCCGGGGTTTGCCGTCGTTCTCCACGTACTCCACGTCGGTGTCGCGGTGCCAGGCGTGCAGCGCTTGCTGGGAGTAGAAGCCATTCTGGTTGAGGCGGTAGAGGCTGGTGGAGCCCGCCTTGGAGCTGTCGGCGATGACGAAGTACCAGTCCCCCTCGATCTGGAAGGCCTCGATGTCGTTGGGCTTGCGGACCTTCTGGCTGTCGATGTCCTGGATCTTGATGAACTTGTCCACGGCCGTGTCCCAGCGGTAGATGTAGGAGCCGCCGAAGAGCTGGGCCACCACCACGTAGAGCTGGTCCTGCGCCACGATGGGCTTGCAGTGCACAGCCGAGTGAGCTGCCGGCGGGACCGCGGCACGTCAGGGCTCTGCCCTCCCCGGGCCACCCCAAATGAGGGTCCCAACAGCCCCCCCGCCCGCTGCCTCACCAGGGATGCGGTCGAAGTCGCGGAGCTTGCGCTCCACGTAGTCCCACTTGAGGATGGAGCAGCTGCTGGCACTGGGCTGTGCCAGGGCCACGTACAGGTCGCTGTCGTAGGTGAAGGGCTCAGCTGACACCGCCTGGAAGGGCAGGACCTGGTGCATCACGAAATCTGGGGAGGGGAGAGGTGGCAGTGAGGGTCCGGGCACCCAGGAGTGGGGTGACAGGTGACGGTGATCCCTTGCCTGTGGTGATGCACTGGAAGTCACCGAGCGCCAGGTCCCGGATCCGCTGCCCCTCGAACTGCCCGGGGCTGCTGCAGAAGATGGCAGGGACCGTGGTGTTGGTTCTCTCCAGCCACTCCACCAGCCACTTGATCTTGCAGTCGCAGACCAGCGTGTTGCCACGGAGGTCCCTGCCAAGGATAGCACCGTGTCACCCCCAGCACCCACCGGGATGTCACCCTGTCACCCTCTCCCCAGCCCGGTGCCCCAGGGATCCCTGCCAGGCCCCAGCACACAGGGTCCTCCTCCCAAGCCCCGGGATGTCACCCTCTCCCCAGCCCGGTGTCCCGAGTGTTCCCGGTGCCGTGGCAGCCTCACAGGTCACTCAGGATGTCCAGCGGCTTGAAGAGGTCCCGGGGCAGCGTCTGCAGGTTGTTGTTGGCCAAGGACCTGCGAGACAAGACGGGTCATGGGGACACATCTCTGGCAAAGCCACCCCCACCATGTCCCCTGCAGGACCCCCACGTGCTCACAGGTGTGTCAGGGACTTGAGCCCACGGAAAGTGCCCTTGGAGAGCGCCTGGATGTCGTTGTTCTCGATGAACCTGTGGCAGGAGGAGACGGTGGCACGGCCGCCCCGAGGATCCCCTGGCCCTCCCTGTGCCCTCCCCAGGGCTGTCCCTGTCCCTGTGCCCCCATGTCCCCGTGTCCCCGTCCCCGCCCCACACACAGGTACTGCAGGTGCGAGAGCCCGGCGAAGGCGTTGTCCCCGATCAGTGAGAACTTGTTGGAGTTGAGGAGGCTGCAAAGAGAGAGGGGGGAGGCGTCAGCACTGGGTGGGTGCCGTGGCACCGGGATGCCCGGCTGTGGGAGCAGGGGACGTACAGGAACTGCAGGGAAGGGATGTGGGCAAAGGCTGCCTCCCGGATCTCCGTGAAGGCTGCGTTCACCATCGTCCTGCCGGAGAGACGGAGCTTCAGGAGAGGGGACAGCAGCAGGGTGGCACTGCCACCCCAGCACCAGTGCTGAGTGCCACTCACCCGCTGAGTGCCACCACAGCCCCCTCAGCAGGGGGAGAGGGACCCTGTTGAGGGGGGGCACAGAGGGGCAGAGGCGCTGGGGGCTGGCACCCACCCCACACTGCCCACGCCCTGCGGCAGCCCCTGGCCCAAGGCCATGTGCACAGACACGGCTGTAAACACACACATGCATGTGCACACACATGCACACACATGCACACACATGCACACACACACGCCTCTGCCACACACACCCATACCAGGCTCCAGGGAACCGCTGTATCCCCAGGGACCCCGGTGAGGACCCCCCCAGCCATGAGGCTCTGGTCCCCAAGGTCACAGCCGTGTCCCCTCGGGGCTCCTGCCGCCAAGGTCACGCTGTGGACAGGCTGCAGCCCTGCTCTGTCTGTCACTGATGGATGGCTGCGTGTGCCACCACCGCAGGACACCGGGACCAGCCTCGGGCTGTCTCCAGCCTGATACTCCCCCACATCCCCCCCGTACTGCCCAGACCACACCCTGCCCTCGTTTGCCCCCCGATGTGGCACAGAGGGGCTGTCCCTGCCCCCCCCCAGGGCAGCCGGCAGCCGCTGGGACATGACCCGCTCCCTGTCCCCATCCCCATCCCCATCCCATCCCCATCCCCATCCCGGGGACTCACAGCGAGATGACCTCGGGGGGCAGGTTCTTGGGCACAGCCTTGGAATCCACGCAAAAAGCCGTGTCTCGGGTGCAGGAGCAGGTGGGGGGGCAAGGAGGGGGCCGGGGGGGCCGCCGCCCCTCCGCCGGCAGCCAGAGCCAGGCCGCGGCGAGGAGGAGGAGGAGGAGAGCAGGGAGCCGGTCCCTCAGCATCCCTCTCCCGCGCCGCAGCTCCATCACGCCCCGGCCTTATCCCTGTTTGATCTCGGGAGCTGTTCCCAATCCTGCTGTGCCCGGGAGCTGTGGAAAAGCCTTTTCCTCTCCTTTTTCCCCCGGAGACGTCAGTGTGGAGGAGCAGCGATGGTGGCAGCAGAGGCTGCCGGCGCCTGACCCGCGGCTCTGCAGCACACCATGCTCCTGTGCTGCGGGGAGGAGGGAGGGAAGGAGGGAGAGAGGGAGGGAGAGAGGGAGGGATGCGGCTGAGTGGCAGCACCAGCATCCCCGGGCGCGCGTGGCCGCGTGTCCTCACCAGCGAGCAAACGTGGGGTTCCACGCTGGGGAGAGGGGGGGGCGGCCACTGGGTGCCCTCGGGGTGCACAGGAGCGGGGGACAGAGGGGCACTGCCAGGGGTGGGTGGCACCGCGGGGGCTCTCCCGGCTCGGCACCGCAGCGCTGCCCGCGCCAGCTCCCTGCCCGCTCTGGCGCGCTGGGCACCCATCCACCCCGCCCCAGGCGCTCGCCCGTCCCGTCCCAGGCACCCGTCTCTCCCATCCCGGCTGTCCATCTGTCCTGTCCCTGGCACGGCGCCGATGGGAACAATGAGCCCAGCCAGCTCCTCGCCCTCCCCCCGGGGGGGACACCCGCAGCTGCCCGTGCACAGCCAGGGCTGCAGCACCCCCGGGGACGTGCCGAGGGTGCTGGGGCCGCTGCCAGAGCCCGGGCCGGGGTGTGGAGGGCGGGCACGCTCTGCTGCCCGCTGTTTGCCTTGGCACCCACCCTCCGCTGCTGGACAAGTGCCGGGAAAGGGCCCTCGGAGGTTTCACGTCCCCTCCCTGGCTCTTCAAACAGCACAAGTGGCACCTTGGCAGCCGGGGCGGCCACAACTTCCCCCCCACCCATCCGTGACCATATAAATCCCCCCGGCCGCGGCTGGCAAAGGGACAGCAGCACCCGGCGAGATGGACGACAGCTCCAAGGAGGCGCTGATGGAGGAGGCACCCCCGGTAAGGAGCACCCACCACCCGTCCCGAGGCGACCCACCGCCGTGCCCGGCCCCACGCCGGCAGCTCAGCCGGGCGCTCCCCTCTCCAGAGGTACACGGAGTCCCCCCGCCTGCCCTGCGTCCCCCACCAGCTCAAGTGCGTCCTGATCGCCGTGGTGGTGGTGGTGGTCCTCGTGGTGGTCATCGCCGCCTTCCTCCTCCTGGGGCTGCACATCACCGAGGCGCACGCGGAGACGGTGAGGGCAGGGAGGGGCCGCGGGCTCCGGGGGCGGGTTTGGGAACGGCCCCGGCCTTGCAGGGATGGGGTTGGGAGTTCCCCGACCCCGCTCCGCCCGGCAGGTGCTGCGAATGACCATCCACGGGCTGGATGGCGAAGGGACCCCCCAGCGCCTCTCCATGAGCAAGAAGGAAAGGACCGGGACGTTCTCTGTGCGGGACGGGCTCAACGCCTCGGCCACAGTGGTGTACGACTACAGCAAGGTGTGCGGGGGGCGCCTGGGGACGGGCACGGCGGGCACGGGGTGGTGCAGAGCCGAGCCGGGGTCTGTCTGCCAACAGCTGCTGGTGGGCTACAGGTCCTGGCGGCACCGCGCCTGCTACATCACCCGCGTGGCCAGGGACAACTTCCCGGGGCTGGACGCTGTCACCGACACCTTCCAGCGCCGGCAGGTGAGCGGGGACGGAGCTGGGGTGGGGATGGAGCCGCACTGGGCTCATCCACATCCCAGCCCCTGCGTCCTGGGAAGCTGGGGACACACGTGGGGCTGGGGGCTTGCTGTGGCTGCCGAGGGTGGCAGCCCCTGCTCCGTTCTGTGTCCTGCAGGCTGAGGAGGTTGGGGACAGCGCCGTGCCCCTGGCCGACCGCTCCATCCTGGGCACCACCATCAACATCCTCTGCAGCACCGTGCCCGTGTACTGGGCATAGCACCGGTTCCCAGTGGGATAGGACAGGGAGAAGGGGATGTCACCGATGTCACCGTCCCTGTGCTCCCCGTGTTGCCTCCTGGGATGCCCGGGCATTCCTCCTCCTCCCTGTGCCCATCCCGGGGGCAGCCACCCCGCTGTGGGGGTGCTCCATCCGTTGTCACTCGGCACCGAGGTGACTTTCCCACGCGACACTCACAATAAAAAAAGTGGGATTTGCTTTGGGATTTGCTTCTGTCTGCAAAGTGAAGCCTCTGCCCCCTTCTCCACGTGCTGCTCTCGTCCTTCCCGGGGTGGTGGGGCTGTCCCAGGGATGTCTCCTTGTGGGGTGCAGGGTGGGAAGGTGAATCCTCCGGGCTGGGGTGCCACGAGCCTGGGAGGGTTCAGACACGGGGGACAGTGGCACAACTACCCCTGTCAGAGACCAGGCTCCCAGTGTCCCATCTGTGCACTCCCTCTTCCCATGGATGGCAGGAGCAGCCTCTGCACTTCCAGCCCTCCTGGAAATGTCCCTGCCCCTGTCCCCTCCTCACGCAAATGGGGACAGAGGGTCTGTGTCACATCCCTGGTGAGAGCCAAGCCCTGGGTTCTCCACAGACACCACGATCCAATTGCTCCAGCTCCCCTCCATCCCAGTCCAGTCCCCATCCCCACCCACCCCAGCCCCTCTGCCCCACAGCAGGGAGCAACCTCGGGGGGGAACCTCCGAGTGCTGCACTGGAAAACTGAGGATTAGTGGAGCTGGGAGGGGGAAAAGAGACCCTGAGAGGTTGATTTGACCTTTCCAGGGGTGCAAACTCAGTGTTGTCCCCACAGCCACTGCCACAGGCAGCAAGGGGGAGGTCCCAGTTCCCGGTGGGTGATGCTTTGCTGGCAACAGGAGGGAAACAGCATTTGCTGACCCGCAGCCAGCAGAGCTCTGCCCCAAAAAATGCCCCGACCTTGTGTTGCCCTGGCAAGAATCCAGGTCAAGAGCCTGCTCAGGGCTGTGGAAGGCAAGAAGGGCTCCCATGGTGTCCGAGAGCAAACAGCCAGGAGCCACTGGAGGGGCTGTCATGGTCCTTTGTCACCTTGGGAGAGGAGGCAGCTTGAAACGGGGGGTGAGGGGACACACACACAAACCCCATGCCTGGCTGCAAGCATTGGGGTCTCAGGGGGGGTTAGAGAGGTCCCAGCCTGAGCCCAGCTGCAGGAGAGCTTCGTGGATGAGCAGAGCCAAGGCACAGCAGTGTCCCCCTGCCAGCTGGGGTGACGTGCCAGAGCTGGGACCCCTCTCACCCCCAAAAAATCCACAATGCAGCCCCAAAAGCCACAGGCAGTGGTGCCCGAGCACTCTCAGGGCCAAGAATGAGGATCAGGGACATGTTCCAACTCTATGGTGACCCCGTTCCCACCCCACCCCTGTGGATTACAGGAAAGCTTTGACACCCTGTTTGCTCTTTGCCCACCTCAAGCAGCTCCAGGTGGCCAAGCTGGCGAAGGGACACGGGCCAGGTCTCCCCTTGGCCGCAGCCACGGCCGGATGCTCCACCCTGGAGGGTTTGCTTTGGCCCTGACCCCTCGCTCCTGGGCAGCAGAGAGCTCCTCGTGCCCGGGGACAAGTGTCCTTGACCAAGTGCCCTGGGAGCCTCTTGACCTGCGTGTTCCCAGGAGGATCCAGCTGGGAGTGGGCGTTGGGCAAACACCAGTGAAGAGGGTCACATGCCAGAGCCCGACTGCACCGCTGGGCACACCAAACCCTTCACAGGGGCCGCTCCTGTCCCCACCCCAGTGCCCCGGTATAAAGCACCTGGTGGCTGCGGGCAGGCCGGGCTGGGAGGTGGAGGAGGAGGAAGAAGAGGAGGAAGAGGAGGAGGAGGAGGCTGCCATGGAGAGCAGCATGAAGCAGGTGGTGGTGGAGGAAGAAGAGGTGAGTCCCTGCAGAGTGGCACGTCCTTGTGTCCAGCTGGGCACACGGCTTTGCCCTGTTCATCCCAGCGAGGCACCAGTGCAGGTGTGATGGGAAGGGCCCCTGGGATGCTGCATTCCCAGCACTCAGGGGCTCTGAGATGGGAGGAACGGCGTGCTGAGGGGCAGTGGGATGCCCAGGGGCAGTGGGATGCCCAGGAGTAGCGGGATGCCCAGGAGCAGCCAGATTCCAGCTTCTCCCTGCAACAATCCCACCCCCAACCCTCCTGCATCCCCCACCTCCCACCTCCATCCCGCTCACCCCACCTCCCCCTGCTTTTCCCAAACCCCCAGGACTCGGAGCAGGGGTGCTGCTGCCCAGGCTGCTGCTTGCCCTGCACCATGTGCTGTGCCAAGTGCTGTGCCAGGTGTGCCCAGTGCTGCTGCCTGCCCAAGTGCTGCAAGTGCCCCAAGCTTCCCGGCTGCTCCGGCTGCTGCGGCTGCTCCGGCTGCTTCGGCTGCCTCAGGAAGTCCCTGTGCTTCGTCCCTCGCCTGCTGTGTTACCTGCCCCGCAAGCTGCTGGGCTGCCACCACCTGCGGTGCCTCCTCATCGTGGTGGTGGTGGTGGTGCTGCTCGTGGTCATCATCGCCGGTGCCCTGCTCATGTGGCTGCACGTCGACCAGAGCCACGCCGACACCGTGAGTGGGCAACCCCCGGTGCCATCACCAGGGACCCCCCAGATGCCCACGGGGATGGGTGGGGGGAGTGCTGCAGGCTCTGAGATCCCCCCTCGACCCCTCTCCAGGTGCTGAGGATGGGTTTGTGGGGAGGGTCGGCCCAGGAAGAGGACGCTGCCACCTTCTACCTGGACAGCGGGGATGGGAACGCGGCCACCGTCATCTATGACTACAGGAATGTGAGTGGGGGGCACTCGGGGAGGGGGGCAAGGCGTGGGGGGGCAGCGGGACGGAGCCGACCCTGGTCTGACTTTCAAACAGCTGCTGGTGAGCTACAGATCCCGCCTGCACCGCGCCTGCTTCCTCACCCGCGTGGACAAGGACAACATCCCGGGGCTGGACACGGTGGCCGAGACCTTCCAGCGCCGGCAGGTGAGGGGTGACCCGGCTGGGCCAGGCTGGGGCGCGGGGGGCAGCCCCCCGGCGAGGATTTGGGGCGCGGCATCCGCCTCGTTTTCCCTTCTCCCCCCCCCCGCTCCGCAGGACGAGCAGAGGATCTCCCTGCCCCTGGCCGACCGCTCCCTCCTGGGCACCACGGCGAGCATCCTCTGCAGCGCCCTCCCCGTCTACTGGGCTTAGCCCCGCTGGGTGAGCGGGAAGGGTGGGCAGGGGGCGCTGGGGGACCCGCACCCACCCACCAGCGCCCTCACAGCGCCGGCTTTGCCTTGCAGCACCCCCCGACAGACACAGCGCTGCCGCAGCCCCTCTGGAAGCATCAGCGATATCCCTCCCCCCCCGCCCTGCCCACCCCGATTTTGGGGCGCGGGGGTGGGCAGGGGGCCGGGGGGTTCAGCGTTGGAGGGGCGCGGGGGGGGGTTGGGGGTCCCGCACACGCCGTGCCGGGGGTGGGGGCGGAGGGTGGGTGTCTGCGCCGCGCCGGGGGGACAGCTGGTTTGTCACTTCAGTCTTCTCAGCTTCGCCAAACCCGAGTGCAAAAAAACGAGCTTAAAAAAAAACATGACATTTAAAAGAAAACACAATTCTCCGTTCCAGTTCTTCGCTCCCGGCTCCCGCCAGCTCCCGCCTTCCTTTTTGCCTTGGAAACGCGTTTCAGGGCTCTGAGCTCTGAGTTTTGGGGGGATTTCTGTCGCAGCCACTGCCTGGGGGGGGCTCACGGAAGGGTCCCCCCCTCTCTGAGCGTGGCTGCCTGACCTGAGCTGCCCCGTCCTGCTGCCAGAGCCAGGCCGGCAGCCTGAAAAATGGGTCTGTCCTCTGCCAGGCTGGAATAAAGGAGAAGGGCAGGAATCAGGTCTGGGAGCTATTCCTGGAGACAGCCTGTGCCGAAGGCGGCCACCGCCACCAGACGCTGCCCGAGGACAGGGATCATTAGGACTGGGATGATTAGGACAGGGATGCTGGTGCAGGGAGGAGTAGGCATTGTTAGGACCAGGATGCTGGTGTTCCTGGGACCAGGCATTATTGGGATCAGGCTTTATTGGGATCAGGCATTATTAGGACTGGGATACCAGTACTATTAGGATCAGGCGTTATTAGGATTGAGATGCTGGTTTTACTGGGATGCTGGTGTTCTGGGATCAGGCATTAATAGGATCAGGCATTATTAGGGCTGGGATACCAGTGCAATTAGGATCAGGTGTTATTAGGACTGGGATGCTGGTGCTGGAATCAGGCATCATTAGGACCAGAATGATATTAGTGTTATTAGGATCAGGAGCTGTTAGGATCAGGATTTACTAGGACCAGGATGCTGGTACTGTTAGGATCAGGCTTTACTAGGATGGGAGTCTGGCACTATTAGGATCAGGTGTTACTAGGACCAGGATGCTGATGTCGGGCACCCATCCGGGGCCTCCTGCAGCTCTGGGGTGCCCACCCCCAACCCCTCGCTGACTCCCAAACCCCCTGAGCCGGAGGAGCTGAAGGAGCCGTCAGGAACTTGGCAGGACCCCCAGGTCCTTGTGCAGTAATTCCAGTGTCCTTGTTTCGGGAGCCTGCACAGGGAGGTTTGTGGAACAGTGGGACCTCAGGGGTCCTGAGGGGGGGGGCAGGAATCAGAGCCAAGCCCTCAGGAGGTTCTGGGAATGGGGGAATCCCATCCTTGGGAAGAGGAGGTGCCAGCCACCCCCAGGTTGTGTCACCGAGGGATGTGGACACAGGGGACAATCCCAGAGCAGGTCACTCACTGCACAGGGATCCCAGAGGAAGGTCATTGGTCCTGGTTCCATAGGGGGGCATCCTGGTTCCATAGGGGGCATCCTGGTTCCATAGGAGGCATCCTGGGGTGTTGGCTGCTCTTTGCTGTGGAGGTTTTGGGGGCTGGAGCCGCCTGCTCCTGGAGACCCAGGGACGTCCCCCACCCTCGTGGAGGGCGATGGTCGTGCCAGTGCCACACCTCGGCATCACCCACCCGCCGTGCCAGGGTGCCAAGGAAGCTCTGCAGGGCGGGCAGGTTGAGGTAGGAGCTCTGGAATCCATGTGCCCTTGCCAGGCAGTGCAGCACATCCACCCAGGGCTCCTGCTCCGGGGATAAGGACGTCCCCATCCCACCGCCAGCTCTGCCGGGCGACACTCAGGCCCAGCGGGATGCAGGTGAGCTGGTCCAGCATTCCCAGCTCCCACAGGGCCCGTTCCAGGTAGGCTCCAGGCTGGAATGCTGGCAGTCAGTGACATCCAGGGCCAACAGCAAGGGAGCTGGATCCCGGGAGCCAGTGCTTGGCGTGGGAAACCCGGGCTGGGAAAAGCCTCCCCCCCCCAGCCGTGGCTCCCCGGAGCGCTCCGTGAGAAAGGGGTGATCTCAGGGTGGGAAGCGGCGGCTGCATCCTGACATCATGGATTTACATCATCCAGGGACCCAGCCCGCAGGGGATGGAAACAGAAAGTATTCCAAAGCCTGGATTGGTTGTTTGTTTTCTTGGGAGACCGGCTCCCCAAATTCCCATCCCTGGGATGCTCCGTGTGGGCCGAGGGCAGCGTGGGGACACAGAGCCAGCCCGGCTTTCCGAGGTTTATTTGTCTGCTCCAAGAGGGAAGTTTTGCTGGATGTGGGTTTTGCAATAAGGGGAAAGGAGAAAACACATCCTGGGATGATCTGCTGACGGGGGAGGAAAATAACGGCCGGAGATAAGGGGGGAAGGAGACTCCCATCATTCCTGGTGGGAATGAGCCAGGCCCACCAGGCCCTGGATATGGGGGAGTCCCCGAAAGCAAAGGGAAGGAGGATTTGGGGGGGTTTAGTGGGCAGGGGAGGGAGCGGAACCCGGATGCCGATGTCATCCAGCCTGTCCCTGTGGGGGTCATCGCACGCAGGAGCACTTAAATCCAGACAAAAATAAAGTTAATGGGAGTTCTGGGAGGATTGTGAGTAGGAGGAGAGGGATGGGTTTGTTCAGGAGCACCACAGGATGAGCCAGGCACCGGTGGGGGGGCTTCTCACCCCTCACCCCCACTGTAGCATTCCCGGGATGCACGGGAGGGACAGTGGACATGACACGGGACAAGGGGAGCAGAAGGGCTGGGGGCACACAGGGACACCGGGATGGGGGGACACAGGAACACTGGGAGGGGCTGGGGATATGGGGACAGGCTGAGGGGACACGGGGACATGGAAATGGGATGGAGGAGACACAGGAATGTGGGGACACAGGTGGAACTTGGAGATCTCGTGGTGAGTGGGCAGCTGGACCCCATTTCCCTCCCCAGGATGGGGGAACCCGCACCCCACCCAAGGGGGGACACAGCCACCCCGGGGTGAGGGGACAGAATGAGGTGGCACAGGGAGGATGGGAGCGGGGCAGGCAGGAGCCAGCATCCTTATCCCACGGGATGGCACCGAGGGGGAAGGATCGGGGCTGGGGGACGTGGGATGCCGTGTCCCCGGGATACCGGGAGTGCGGGACGGGACTGGGGGGCCTGGATCCGTACCGGGGAATACGGGACGGGACCCAGGGGTGGCAGGAACGGGACCGGGGGACGCGGGATGGGACGCGGGGGAGGCGGGATCGGTGCTGGAGGATGGGACAGGGAGAGCAGGATCGGGACCGGGGGATGCGGGACGAGACCGAGGGGTGCGGGACGGGACCGGGAGACGCGGGATCGATACCGGGGGATACGAGACGGCACCGAGGGGGTGCAGGACGGGACGGAACGGGGCAGCCCCGCGCTCGGGGAGGGCAGGAGCGGGCCCAGGGGCTGCGGAGGGGCAGGAGCGGGGGCTGCGGGCCGGGTCCCCGCAGCAGTTCATCCCCGCCGCCCCCCCGGCGCTGGCCCCGCTCCCAGCCCTGCGCCCGGGGCTGCAGGGGCCGAGCTCCGCGCTTGAACCCGCCCCCGCCAGATCTCATTTCCTAAAAAAAAAAAAAAAAAGGGAAGAGAGAGAGAGAGAGAGCGAGGGAAGAAAAAAAAAAAAAAGGAGCGAAGAAGGGAAGGAAAGAGGGAAGAGAGGAAAAAAAAAACCCGGCCGGAGCCATGGCCGGGCTGCGGAGCTGCGGGCTGCTCCTCTGCCTGCTCCTGGCCCGGGCCCTGCGCTTCCCGGACTATTCCTACGTGCTGGAGGAAGAGGAGGAGGAGGACGAGGAGCCCCTGGACTACAAGGACCCCTGCAAAGCCGGTAGGAGCGGGGGGATGCGCGGCGGGGGGCGGGCGGGCGGACAAAGGGGAGCGCGGGGGGGCCGGTGGGAGTGAATGTGGAAGTGAGTGAGTGTGAGCGAGGGCGAGTGTGCCCCGCACACACTTCGGGGCTTTGCACGGCGGAACTTGGCACCGCTGCCCCGCGCTGGCCCCGGGGCCGGGGAGTCCCCGCTGCCCGGGATGGGAGCAACGGGGGGAGCAGCGGCCGGTCCCGCTCCGAGATGCATCTGGTTGTACTTAGGGTGAGGAGCAGGGGGGGCTGGCCCGGCGCCCCGCTTTCTCTCCCTCGTCGTGGCTGTACTGGCAGCTGTCAAAGGCGGCGGGGAGCCCCCATTTCACCCCCCCCCTCACCATCCCAGCCCATCCCAGGACCCATCCCCGGCTCAATCCCACCCCCCATCCCACCCCCATCCCTGAACCCACACTCTGCACCCTTTGCCTTTCCTCCTCTCTCCCGACCCGCAGCCAAAGCTCGTCCCCCCGGGACACCCGGGCCGGGCTCAGCTCGGGAGGTGCTCCCGCGGGCTGGGGTCCCTCAGTGCCGGGACAGGGGGTTCCGGGCTGTTCCCCGGATTTTGGAAGGGCTGGGAACAAACTGGGTGCTGCGGGGAGGGGGGGACAATCCCTGTGTTCCAGCGCGAGATAAAGTGGATGGAGGGATTTTGGGGGGGGATGGGAGGGGGAAACTGAGGCACGGGAGGGCCGTGCAGGGCTGAGCCCGGCGCGAGGGCCGGGGTCTGGCGGGGGATCACGTTTCTCTGTACTGGCATTGTCTGCGCTGGAAGGCGGCTGTTGATATAACTCTGTCTACACGAGGGCTTTTTCTGGCCAAAAATCCTTCCCTTCCTGCCCTCCCGGGCTGAAACAGCAAGGCTTGCAAAACCGTCCGAGCAGAGCCGGCTGGAGCCTTCCCTCCTCTCCCGCTTCCTCCAGCTGAGCGGGAGAGACGACGCTTCACCCTCTGACGAGCCGGACTAATTAGCGGTGGCCTTCCCAGTGGCCCCTCCTCGCCCCGCTCCTGTGCGCCCCAGGACCCCTCCTGGGGTCTCTTCTCGGGGCCGGCTGTTCCCCCCTCCCCATTCCCGTCCTGGCCTTTATGAGATCCTTATGTGACTAATTTAATTACGGCAGCTCTTCCCCGGGAGCCTGGAGGGGGGTGAGGGGGGGGATCAGGCCCTGCCACGCATCGCACGAGCCACGGATTTACCCCCGTTGGGACCCGCAGGGCCAGGCTGGTGAGGTCCAAAGGTGGGAGCTGGAGCTGGAGCCCCGCCTGGCATCGCCCTGGCATCACCCTGACCCCCCCCATGGCATCCCATGTGCGGGTTTGTTTTAATTTTGGGGTGTTGAGACCCTCCCCGAGCTTGGGGCAGCGCCAGGAACAGCCGAGCACCGAGGCTTTGCCGCCGCCGCGGCTCCAGGGAGGGAAGCACGGAGAGAGGGATTTGGGTTCCTTGGCACAGCTCACGCCAGAGGTGTCCCGAGGCCGTGGCTCGCCAGCCACCTCGGTGATGCCACCCTGTCTGCACCGGTGCCAGCGGAAGGGGAAGAGCCTCCCGTGCCGCCGCGTCGCTTCCAAGGATGCCAAAACGGGACCGCTGGGAGATCCAGCCCTCGGACCAGCCCCCGGGGCAGCCAGGGAGGGAGGAATCAGCCGTGGCCCCGGTTTCCCCTCACCCGGTCAGCAGGATATCCAGGTCTCGGTGCCCGGGAGCAGCCGCCGGGTCGGATCCGGGTCGTGCCTCCGGTTGGGAAAGGCAGCTGGAATCGCTCCCACAGCCCCCGGCCGTGCTGGAAGAGTGGCCCCAGGGTTTGTTGTGGCTCATCCCAGGGGGTCCACGGGGGTTGTTGAGCAGTTTGGTGATGGAAGCTGGGCCCCCTTTGGTGCCCCCAGCACCCGGGGATGGATGGAGCCAACCCTTCTCCCTGAGTGCAGCTCCACACGCACATTTTGGGGTACTTGGCTAAACTGGGGGGGCTGGCACGTCCTCTCCCCTGGCATTCCATCACCATGGGGAGGGGATGTGGGGGAGCAGAGCCCTCTGGGGGCTCACACAGCCCCCCCCAGGGAGGGTTTTTGGAGGGGATCTGCTCCCCCATCTCCCCTTGGGGGGCTCAGCATCACCCGCCCGGCACAACCGCGGGATGCAGGGATGGGGCCGGAGGTCTGAGCCCCCCTTTCCCGGGTGGACGAGCTTCCCAGCCGTGCCTGGAGTTCTCCAGCCGCCCAGATTTCACCTAGATTACACTTTCCAGGCGTAGCCAGCCCGGGCTACTGGTTGGAGTCACACTTGTCAGGCTGCCCAAAAATATTTTCCAGCCGTTATATGTCACTTATTCATGCAGGGCAAAAATCCACCCGCGGAGCCGGGGCCGGCGGGAGGCCTGCGGTTCAGGGCTCGGGAAACCTTGGGAATCTCAGGCCGATCCCGGGATCTGCTTTATCTTTGTGTAATCACCCGCACGCTCCGGCGGGGGGCCCGGGGGGTGCAGACGGCGAGGTCGGGGTGGGATGGAGGCGGGGGGGGGGGGGGGGTCGTTCCTCGCTGCCCTCCCTTCCCGGCTCCTGGGAAACTCTCCGGCTGCTGATTCACGCCGGCGGGTCGTGGAGAGGAGGGAGACGTGGAGAGGGGGGAGACGGCGTTTCCTGAGGCTTTATCCGCCGGCCGAGCCGGGGCTGGGAAACACATGGAAACACATGGAAACACATGGAAACACATGGAAACACATGGAAACACATGGCCGGAGGGATGGGGCAGCCCCGGGGAGACCCCGGGGAGAACAAAGCCGTGGGGAGGGATAGAGGGAAAGGAGGGGGGATGGCTTTTGCATCTCAGCTGTGCCGTGCTGGGTGTTTTCCGGGCGAGAACGTGTCCTCCAGGTTGCTCGTGGCTTTGCTGAGGGTTTCTGGAGAGAACAGCATCCCACTGCATCCCACGGAGCTGTGGGAAGAGGGTCCTGGCTGCAGGAGGGGTGTCGGTCACTGTTGTTGATCCAGGGGGGCCTTGCATGGCAAACCCCCCTCTGTGCACGTGGGAAAGGCAATGGGAAGATCTCAAGCCTCAGGAGGCACAACCATGGAGCTGGGAATAGCCTTTGGAAAGAGTTAATGGGTGCTGGAGGAGGCTGGGGGGGCAGGATTGAACAGTGCAAGCACAAGGAGGGGGATGTTTGCAGCCAGAGCCCTGGGGATGACGCCCAGAGGTCTGGGAGCCCTTGGGAGCTGGTGTCCTTTGGCAGAGCCGGGCACAGGGACAGGCACAGTGCCCTGAGATCCCGGGATACCCCACGTGTCCAGAGCTGGGTGTTGGGGAACATCCCTGTCCCCAGTGGGCTCCAGTTCAGGTGCCACCAGGCTCCCCTCCAATGTGGCACCGAATCCCCCCATCCCCTTGGCAGAGCAATTCCCAAATATTCTCCTTTCTGGCAGCTCTCCCTTTCACAGGGATCTGTGCTGCTGGCCAGGGATGTGTTTTCCTCAGTGACCTGGCTTTGGAGAGGGCACACAGGGAGATCCTGCTCCCTGCACACAACTCCTGGCATCCCAGGGCTCCCACGTGCCTTAGGTTTGGCATCCTCCACGCCGAGCCCTGGAGGAGGCTTTCTCCTGCATTTGCTGTCACGGAAGAGGAGCAGAAGGAAAATCCTCCCCTGGAGTGATCAAACCATCCTTCCCACTCCCAGCCTGCCCCGAGGTGGACCTTTCCTGCCCCTGGAAGCCTTTTGCTGGCCTGGGATGTGTTTACTGGAGGCTCCACGGAGCTTATTTCATCCCCTGGAGCAGGCAGAGGATTCGGATCCTGAATCCCGGTGCCCGGGGCTGGGGAGGGAATTTGGCCATAGGGAAGCGTTGGCAGAGATGGGAAGTGCCTTGAGCCACCGAGGGATGCACAGAGGGGAAGTGGGGATAGGTGGGGATCCTCCCTTCACCTCGGATGCTCTGCTTGAGCATCTCTGCCTCCCTCAGCTGCTGGATGTGCACCAGGTGGGATAAGGATGCTCCAGCCAGGAAGCAGGAGGCAGGGGGGTCTCAGCTGAGTGCAGGACTGGCTCTTTTGGGGGTGCCCCTTGGTGCTGACCAGCTCCATCCCCCCGTGCCTCAGTTTCCCCACTGGCTGCAGAGGGGCTGTGATCTGGCCTGGCTCCCAGCCTTGGCCTCCAAGGCTTGAATTCCTGCTTTGTGCCTGCTGTGCTGCTCGGAAGGTGCTCTGGGAAAGCAAATATTCCTGGCCCCGGCGTTTACAGCCTGGCTGCTCCCTCTCTCCGGCGAGGGGCACCGGGAGAGGGGCTGCACTGCTTCTCCTCCACCCTGTCCCCGCTGTCCTGGGGGTCTCACAGGGCCACTGGGGGAAGCTGGGGGAGACCTGGCTGCTTCCCCATCCCGACAGCCCCGGGATGCTCCACATCCCTCCGCCTGCACACCCACACCTCCTCCCCGGGGCTCTGCGGGCAGGGCAGACCCCCGGGGCCAGCGAGACCCCCCTAGTCCCGGCCGAGTGGGGTCCCCGCTCGCCTGGCCGCGGCCCCGGGGTGTTTTGCCGCGCAGCTGGGCCGTGCGGGGGCGAGGGGCGGTGCGACGAGCATTCCTCACATATTTAACGGCTCTGCGAGCCAGTGGGATGCTGCTCCCGTGACTCCGCGGCTTTACAGCCCGGCAGCTCGGCGGAGGCCGGGATACACCTATGGAACGGCTGCCCTCAACCCCGTTCCCGGCCGGGGCAGAGCAGCTTTCTCCCTGCTTCCTTCCACACTCCAAACCCTGCCTGCGCCGGGAGCGACGCTCGTGGATTGGCACCACAGGAGGACTCGGAGCAGCTGGGATGGAGCTGCTGAGCCAGGGAGGGAAAGCTGGGCTGAGGGGATGCTTCCCATCCTTCCCATCCTGCCCTTTGAGGGTCGGTGGGACCCATGCAGGGGTGAGGGTCCCTCCTGCCTGGTGCCCTTTGGTGGGACCCGCACAGGGTCTCTCCTGCCCGGTGCCCTTCGAGGCCTGGCAGTGCCTGCAGAGGGATGAGGGTCCCTCCTGCTCTGTGCCGTGCACGGAGCCTCCTTTGCCCCAGACTGACCTGGAATATGATCCTGTCCTGTTTATCTGCCCTGCCAAGGCCCCCCCACCGCTCTGTTTGCTTTTCCCGGCTCACCAGAACACGGCGTTCGCTCCCCGGCCCTTTCCCGCCGCTCATTTCAGCTGATTTTTTTTTTTCCCTGCGACACGGTTCCCAACCTTGGTGGAGCCCGAGGTCAGGCTCATCCCAAAATCCCAGCGATGTCGAGGAGGTCAGGCCCGTGGGTGTCCCTCTGCCCTGCGTGCCTCGCTCAGCGGGAGGGAGGATGCTGAGCTCCTGCATCCCAGGTAGGGGGGACAGGGACCCTCCAGGGACAGCCAGCGGGCCAGGAGGTGCCTGTAGGATCGGGATGAGGTGCTGAGGGGGGTTGGCCCAGGTCCTGCTGAAGAACCTTGTTTGTCTAAAGCTTCAGCCCCGGGGTTACGTCACCGTTCCAAGAACCCGAAAGAAAACACGGCACAAAAAGTCAAACAACAGCGGAGGGCTGAGCTATCTCCCGGCTGAAAGGGGGGTGGGAAGAGCTCCGTGGGAGCCTCCTCTCAGGTCCCACATGGCTGGTTGCGTTCCGGGGGGTGGGAGGGATGTGCCTGGATGGAGCTGTTGTCATCCCACTCTCCCTGCCCCGCTCCCTGTCCTGCTCCTCACCCGGCTGACAGGGGTGGCGGTGGGGCCACCGTGCCCCACGCCTGGCCTTGGAGCTGCTGCCCTGCTGGCACTGCAACCCTCCCGCTGGCATTGCATCCTCCCTGCTGGCATCACGTCTGTCCCGCTGGCATCGTGTGTCCCCCGCTGGCACCGCCGTGGCTCGGACCTTGCCCCCGATACCTCTGTGGCCGAGCAGAGAGCGGCCCCCGCGGCACAGCCCACGGGCTGCCAGGCTGGGAACGGCTCAGGGACACGGGGATCCCTGTGGGAATGGCTGGAGACCTTTGTCCGGTGGTTTGGGGTCTCCTGAGCGCCATGAGCCAGCGGGATGAGGGTGTTTGATGCAGGGAATGGGTGCTGGAGGTGTGACGGGTTTCCCTCCTGCTCCAGCCTGTGTTCTGCCAAGCAGAGGCTGAGACCTCTCCTGCCCATGAGACCCCCACGTTCAGGGGGTCCCCTTCACTTGCAGAGGGTCCCCTTCGCTTGCAGGGGGTCCCCTCCACCTCAGAGGGAGGATGTGACACAAACAGGGAAGGGACAAGTGGCAGCAATGTGGCAGCATCCTCGAAGAAACCCCTTGGGGGGGGTTTACAGCATCTGGAGGGGGGGTTGATCAGCAGAGACCCCCCCCCAGAACGACCCACGTGTCACCTCCTGCCGCGGGTGCACAGGGAGTGAGTGGGAGGAGGACGTGACCAGAGCCCAAACCAACCTGGAAGTTTCTCAACCCAACACTCTGGGCTTGTCCCCGACGTGTCCGTACAGGGATCGCTGCCGGGCCACCCCCACGGCTCCTCTGGCCCCTCCAGGAGCAGCAAAACACCTTCCCCCGTGGGCTGGGGTTTTTTTTTTTTTTTTTTGGGGAAGCCAAGCCGCCTCGAGCCACCGGGAAAACCAACCCCACGTCCCCGGGCTGGCCTGCCCGGCTCTCTCACGTCTCCCAAATCCCTCACATATGGTTTCTATATCACTTGGCTCCGCCGGCGCTTGCTCGGCTGTAAGCGAGCTTACTTTCCCTTGTCTTTCCATGCAGCTCTTGGCACGGGACACTCGTCCTTCTCCCCGGCCCTGGTCCTCCCCCGCGCTGCCCGTTCGGACACGTCTCTCCCGGCCCCGGGGAGGGTGCGGGGAGGCCGGGCCCGGCTCCTGCCTCTGCTCTGCCCTCAAATTGCAGCCTGGCCGTGCCAGCCGCAGGTCGCTGCCAGGGGAGGTGCCGGCCCCGGCTTGTTTGCTCTTCCCTCGGCGCTGCCGCAGGTCTGCTCTCCACCCTGGAGCTTCCCCCGATGGGATTCACCCCCCGGGTCAGCACTGGGGACGGACCCAAAACGTGGCTTTTCCACCGACGTGGGGTCTGGGCTCGGTGCCACGCCAAGGGATGGGATCCAGCCTGTTCCTCTGATCCCGTGGCTGCTCCTCTCACCCCGCGCCGGTTGTTTTGGACCTCTCAGCGTTATCCCGATTGTCCCGCCTTGTCTTGATAATTAGTGGCTCTTTTGGGATCCATTTGCTAATTGCTTGGAGCGCGACCTTGGCAAGGCTCACCCTCGTGCCCTGAGCTGCTCCAGCCGCCCCACTCCCCATCACTGCCCCTCCCGGGGGGTGGCGAGGGCAGGGAGTGCCCAGGACCCTCCGCTCAGCCTGAGTACCCCAAAACCCGGTGAGGAACCCCTCTCCACCCCACCGCGGCCTCGACGTGACCTCCGCCAGCCCTCGCGCTCCGGCCACGGCGTTTCCGCAGGAGCCGGATCCCAAGGGATCGGGGCCGGCCAGGCGCTGACGCCGGGAGCCGCGGGGTTGAGTCACGGAGGGGGAGGCAGGAGGAAGAGGAGGAGGAGGAAGGGCTGTGCAGGGTTATGCCCTCCAGCCCTGTGGTGCTGGAGCATCTCAGGCCCCCCCCCAGTGCTGGAGCGGGGCTCCCAGCCCTGGCACACGGCCGGTCCCGTTGCTGCTCCGTTCCTGCCTCATTCCTGCTCCGTTCCTGCCTCATTCCTGCTCCGTTCCTGCCTCATTCCTGCTCCGTTCCTGCGGGCGCTGGGCGCAGCAGGAGCTTCCCGGGCCATATGGCTTCGCTCCGCGCTGGCAGATGACTCAGAGGTCGTTGGAGCATCCCGGGGCTGTCGGAGCTCACAGCGGGCTGGGGGAGCAGGAGCTGGGCGGGAAGGGGGTCCTAAACCCACCAAAGTGGGGAAAAAAAAAAAAAGAGGCAGTTTTGCAACACAAATAACGATAGAAACCCTGAAAAGTGATGGATGGGCTTTATGCAATCCAGATGTGAGCGCAGGGCTGGCTCCAGCTGCAGGGGAGAGGGGGGAGCCACGCAGCACGCTCAGTTGAGAGCGAGAGGGAGGAGGATGACGAGGAGGATGAGGAGGAGGAAGGGTTTGCCTTCCTCTTCAGGGCTTGCCAGGTGTGGGGGAGCTGGGGAGAGGCACCTGTTGGGGGTCCCCTGGCACATAAATGGTGTGGTTCACACCTCCTCCTCCCCTCCCAGCCGCCTTCCTGGGTGACATTGCCCTGGACGAGGAGGACCTGCGGCTCTTCCAGGTGGACCGGGTGGTGGATCTGTCCCGTCACACCGTCACCCGCCTGCCCTCCAACTCCTCAGGTACCGCCGCACCCCCAAAGCCCCTCCACCCACCTCCACCCCCCCTACGGGGGGGGGCTGCCCACGCTGAACCCCCTTCCCCCACAGGCAGCAACTCCACCAGCCCCCGGCCGGGCCACCCTCGGCGCAGCCGGGGCCGGCAGCGGAGCCGCCGGGCAGCCACGTCCCGGCCGGAGCGAGTGTGGCCGGACGGGGTCATCCCCTACGTCATCAGTGGCAACTTCAGCGGTGAGTGCGGGCTGGGGGGGTGCTCTGACCCCCCCCACGTGCCTCAGCCCCCCCCCCAGCCGGGCTGACGGCCCCCGCCGCCCCTCCGCAGGCAGCCAGCGAGCCATATTCCGGCAGGCGATGCGGCACTGGGAGAAGCACACCTGTGTCACCTTCCTGGAGCGCAACGACGAGGACAGCTACATCGTGTTCACCTACAGACCCTGCGGGTACATCCAGGGGGGTCCTGGGGATGCTCCAGGGCCACCTGCCCCGTGGGGTTTGGGTCTGGTTGGGGTGCAGGAGGTGTCGGAGCCGCCGCCGGGGGCTGAGGTCGGTGGTGAGGAACCAGCCTGGGCTTGAGGCGGGGCCGGGGCCAAAGGAAACAGGGGTTTGGACGAGCTCGGCGTCTTCACGCGTCAGGGCACGGCCCCGGCCAAGCAGATGGTGGTTAGGAGAAGGATTTCCCCTGGAATGGGAGCCCCTGCGTGGGTGCAAACCCTGAGGCTGGGTCCAGAACACAGGGCTGGGCCAGCTCAGCTGCAGGGCACAGGCAGGGTCCCTCCACCGAGCAGGATGGGACCCTGGGCTTTGGGGTGGGTTTAGGGCTGGATTTGGGGCTGCCACGCCATGCCATCCCATGCCAGGCAGCCCAGGGGCAGGAGCTGAGCTCTCCCAGCTCCCAGGAAAGCTGAGGCTGGAGGCTCAAGCACCTCGCCTGGGCAGGATGGCTGAAGTTCCAGCAGCAGGGAGGATTCCCAGCAGCAGCCAGGGATTCCCACACCCCCAGGCTGGTCTCCCTGGAGGGCCAGGACTCACCCGGTGCCCCCCCCCTCCCCAGGTGCTGTTCCTACGTGGGCCGCCGGGGAGGGGGACCCCAGGCCATCTCCATCGGCAAGAACTGCGACAAGTTCGGCATCGTGGTGCACGAGCTGGGTCACGTCATCGGGTTCTGGCACGAGCACACGCGCCCCGACCGGGATGACCACGTCTCCATCATCCGGGAGAACATCCAGCCAGGTAGGGATGAGCCTCCCTCCTCCTCCTCCTCCTCCTCCTCCTCCTCCTCCTCATCATCATCATCATCATCGCTGCCACGGGGTGCTGGTGGAGTTGGGGTCCCCCCTGAGTGTGTCCCTGTCCTGTTTTCCCAGGGCAGGAATACAACTTCCTGAAGATGGAGCCGGAGGAGGTGGAGTCGCTGGGGGAGACTTATGACTTCGACAGCATCATGCACTACGCCAGGAACACCTTCTCCAGGTACCTGCCCTGGGGGGGCTCGGCCTTGTGTCCCCTCATGTCTTGGGGACAGTGTCACAGCATCCCCAGCCCCAGGGGACGGTCACCAGCTCTCACAGGGTTAATTCCCTCGGAGTAAGGATGAGGCCCCGCAGTGTCCCATTCCAGAGCAGGGAATTGTCCCCGCGGTCACCTCCACTGGGGACACGTCCCCTCTGACTCACGGGCCCGCAGGCTTTTAATTAGCCGGGCTGCTTTTAATTAGCCGGGCTGCTTTTAGCATCCTTCCTCTTGGGGAGCGGCCGCAGGGCCGGGGATTCCCACCCGGCTCAGCCTCCTGCTGTCCCAGGGGCATCTTCCTGGACACCATCCTGCCCAAGTACGACGTGAACGGCGTCCGGCCGGCCATCGGGCAGAGGACACGGCTCAGCAAAGGGGACATCGCCCAGGCCCGCAAGCTCTACCGCTGCCCAGGTGAGTGACCCCTGCCCAGGTGAGTGACCCCTGCCCAGGTGACCATCCCCTGCCCAGGGGAGTGTCCCCTGCCCTGTCGCTGCCGGGGGGGAGGATGCCTGGGGGTGTATCTCTCAGAAACCGCTCTGCTTCGCCCCAAAACTTGCCAAAGGCGGCGTCGGCCTGGGTGGATTCTTTGTTTCCAGTTGATTTTTGGGGTCCTCCCCGCCCTGTGAGGAGCACACAAGGTGCCTTTTGCCATCCGTGGCATTTTTCGGGGGGTTGTGAGCAGAATTTGGATGCAAGAGCTCGGTGAGCCCCAGGGCTCTGCTCATGAGAGCAGAGGTGTCCTCAGCTGCCTTCTCCTGCTGCTCCTCTGAGAAAAGGGCATCTCCCCAGAGCATTCCCATAAAAAAATCCCCCAGAGAGAATCTCCCCCCAAAAAAATCATCAAAAGAACGTCCCACCCAGAGCATCCTCCAAGAGCATCCCTCCAAAACATCCTCTCTAGACCGTCCTCCGAGAGCATCCCCCAAAAGAGCATCTCCCAAAAGCACCCCCCAAAGAGCATCCCCCCCAGAGTATTCCCCTAAAAAAAAATCCCCCAAAGGGTGATCCCCCTGAAGAGAATCCTCCAGGAACGTCCCCCAAGAGCATCCCCCAAAAAAATCCTCGGAAGAGCTTCTCCCCCCCAGAGCATCCCCCCCAAGAGCATCCTTCAAGAGAAGAGAATCTCCCAAGATCGTCCCCTCCAAAAATCATCCTCCAACTCTCCAAAAACATCCTCCAGAGAGTACCTCCCCCCCAAAAAATCCTCCAAAGACCATCCCTCCACAGAGAGCATCCTCCAAGAGAAGAGCATCCCCCCCTCCCAAAAAAAATCCCCCTGAGAGCATCCCTGAAGAGCAGAGCACCCCCTCAGAGGACCCCCTGACCACGCAGCACCCTCTGGGAGCAAACCCTCCTCCGAGACCCTCCTCCATCCCACCCCAGCATCCTGGTGGGGTGGGACAAGCCTGGTCCCCACTGGCCCATCCCTTGAGGGCCGGGGGCACGACCAGCACAAGGCGTTGGCACCTCGAAGGGCACCATCGCCCCGGGCACGGTGGGGAGGGGGCTGGCACGAGTCCCCCCCCCCCGGCGACAGGCACGTGCTCCGGGGGGCCGGCGCTGGCAAACAAACACAGCTGCGAGGAGTTTGGCTCCCCGCACGAGCTAATTAGCCAGCGGCTAATTAGCAGCCCCGTGGAAGAGAGGGACGCCTTTGTGAGGGGCCCCACGGCCCCCGCCGCCCTCGGGGGCTCCGGGGGGAGGAGAAGGGGGGGGGGAGCAGGAAAAGCGATTAGTTTGGAGCGAGGAAAAGAGAGGGGGGGGGAAAGAAGGAAACCTCCCCAAAAAGCTCTCTCTGGATCTCTTTTGTTTTCCACTGTAAAGAAAGGAGGGGGGGGGGGAAGGCAGCGAGCCCGGGTTTGAAACGGCCTTTTTTTCGCACCGTTTCACCTTTCAGCGACGGGAGGGGAGGTCGGGGAGGAGGGGGAGGCTGCCTTGGCCCCTGCAAAGCTCCGTGTGCCGCTTCCCCGGCATCATGTGGCTCCCAGATGGCAGCGCTGGGCCGGCTCCAGCCGCGCCTGCGGAAAACCTGCCCGGAGCTCGGGTGTGGAGCCGGGCCGGGACACGGAGAGGGGGCCGGGATGGCTCCTGCGGCGAACACGGGGCTGGGAGGGCTGCCGGGAGCCCCGGAGGTTTCGGGGATGCACCGGCGAGGTGCTGATGTGGGGTTGTTTTTTGAGTCCTCAGGGCTGGGAGTTTGAATGGGAAAAGGGCACAGCGGGGCTGGGAGGCTTCCCCCGGAGGTCTGACTTTCACTTTTTCTCCTTCATAGCCTGCGGGGAGACACTCCAGGACAGCCAGGGCAACTTCTCCTCCCCGGAATTCCCCAATGGATACTCTGCCCACATGCACTGCGTCTGGAGGATCTCGGTCACCCCCGGAGAGAAGGTACCGCCTCCCACCTCCTCCCAGCCCTCCTCTCCCTCCTCCCCTCATCTCCCACCCTTTTTTTCCGGTGTCCCTATTCCCAGCATCCCTCTGTGGGCCGGGATGCTCCGGGCAGAGCAGGTCCGGGAGCTCCCGCCGGCTCCCAGCAGAGGGGGCGCGGGGGGGGCTCACCCCACGCTCTTCCTGCTCCTTCCCAACCTCAGATCATCCTGAATTTCACCACCCTGGACCTGTACCGAAGCCGGCTGTGCTGGTACGACTACGTGGAGGTGAGAGACGGGTTCTGGAGAAAGGCCACGCTGCGAGGTAACAACCCGGGGCCTCCTGCCCGCTCCTCCTGCCCACCGGGAACGCTCCAGCACCGGGACCAGGGGCTCCCCTCGGCCCCTATCCCTGCCTGCCTGCCTGATGTTCCAGAGTCCTGGGGTGGGGAGAACTAACCCCCAGAGGGGTTACTGGGATGAACGGAGCTCCCAGTTTGGCCCCCACACCAGTGAAACCAGCCTGGGTGATCCATCTGGCTGGCACAGCTCTGCCCAGGGAGATGCCAGGATCCCAGTCCCATCCCCGTGAGCTGGATGTTCCCCAGGGAGATGCCAGGATCCCAGTCCCATCCCCGTGAGCTGGATGTTCCCTGGGGAGATGCCAGGATCCCGGTCTCATCCTTGTAAGCTGGATGTTCCCCAGGGAGATTCCAGGATCCCAGTCCTATCCATATGAGCTGGATGTTCCCCGGGGAGATTCCAGGATCCCAGTCCCATCCCTGTGAGCTGGATGTTCCCCGGGGAGATTCCAGGATCCCAGTCCCATCCCGTGAGCTGGATGTTCCCCAGGGAGATGCCAGGATCCTGGTCCCATCCCTGTCATGTTCCCAAGAGTTACCAATATCCCAGTCCCATCCCCATGATGTTCCCCAGGGAGATTCCAAGATCCCGGTCCCGTCCCCATGAGCTGGATGTTCCCCAAATCCCAGCTGAGCCTGGAACAACCAGTTGAAGTGAAACTGCCAGAAAAGCTGGAGAGGGAGAAGCAGCGCTTTGGCTTTAGGCTGGAAAGGGGCACTGAGGGCACCAGGAGGGGATGGCTGGGAGGAAGAGGAGGTGGTTGGGAGGAAGAGGAGGTGACGGTGAGGAAGAGGAGGGTTCCTGGCCAGCAGAAGCCCAGCACGCCTTCCTCCCCAGGCAGGTTCTGCGGGAACAAGCTGCCCGAGCCCATCATCTCCACCGACAGCCGCCTCTGGGTCGAGTTCCGGAGCAGCAGCAACTGGGTGGGCAAAGGATTCTTCGCTGTCTACGAAGGTAGGGGGGAGCAGGGGGGGCCAGGGGGTCAGTGGGAGGGCCGAGGGGGGGCTCAGGCCGCTGCTCCTCCCTTCCAGCCATCTGTGGGGGGGATGTGAAGAAGGACAACGGGCACATCCAGTCCCCCAACTACCCCGACGACTATCGGCCCAGCAAGGTGTGCGTCTGGAAAATCACCGTCTCCGAGGGCTTCCACGTGGGATTGACCTTCCAGTCCTTCGAGGTGGGTCAGCATTCCCCCCAGACCGGGACGGGGGGAGGTCTCCCCAACCCGGTGCTGCTCCCCCCAGGACAGGCCGGGGGCTGCCCTTCCTGGCTCCGCATCCCCCCGTGCTGCCTCCCTGCCTCAGTTTCCCCACGCAGCTCCTTCCCTCGGCGTGTGGGCAGCGGGGAGGGCTCGGGGGTGCTGGGGCCGAGACCCTCCCCTACCTAACACCCCTCCCACCAGATCGAGCGGCACGACAGCTGTGCCTACGACTACCTGGAGATCCGGGATGGCAGCACTGAGTCGAGCAGCCTCATCGGCCGCTACTGCGGCTACGACAAGCCCGACGACATCAAGAGCACCTCCAACAAGCTCTGGATGAAATTCGTCTCCGACGGCTCCATCAACAAGGCGGGTTTCGCCGTCAACTTCTTCAAAGGTGCGGGGGACGCTCCTGGGGGGGTCGCTGGGAGGGGTCACGGCCCCTTTTCCCGCTCATCCCACCCCGCCCTGCCCAGAGATGGACGAGTGCTCCCGGCCCAACAACGGCGGCTGCGAGCAGCGCTGCGTCAACACCCTGGGCAGCTACAAGTGTGCCTGTGACCCTGGTTATGAGCTGGCAACCGACAAGCGCCGCTGCGAGGGTGAGTGACCCCCTAAAACACCCCAACACCCCCCCGACGCCCCTCGCAGCGTCCCTAACCCCGCGGAGCCCGGGGAGGTGACGGGCGCCGGGTGCCTCCCGCCCTGCAGCCGCCTGCGGAGGTTTCCTCACCAAGCTCAACGGCTCCATCACCAGCCCGGGGTGGCCCAAGGAATACCCCCCCAACAAGAACTGCATCTGGCAGCTGGTGGCCCCCACCCAGTACCGCATCTCCCTCCAGTTCGACTTCTTCGAGACCGAGGGCAACGACGTGAGTTGGCGGCGGGCGCTGCTGGGGAACCACCCCCGGGGTGGCACTGCCGTGTCCCCAGCCCCGTGTTCCACGCCTGTGCCGCCCTCCCAGGGGGTGCAGACGCGGCTTTGTGCCCCCCCAGGTGTGCAAGTACGACTTCGTGGAGGTGCGCAGCGGGCTGACGGCCGACTCCAAACTGCACGGCAAGTTCTGCGGCGCCGAGAAGCCCGACGTGATCACCTCGCAGTACAACAACATGAGGATCGAGTTCAAGTCCGACAACACCGTCTCCAAAAAGGGCTTCAAAGCCCATTTCTTCTCAGGTAGAGCTGCCCGGCCCTGGCACGGGTGTCCCCTGCCCTCCCTCACCCCGCAGACCCTCCCCGCGCCCCCAAACCGCCGCTAACGCTCCCCTCGCCCGTGCTGGGGGTGCAGCCCCCCAGTCCCAGCCTGGTGGTGGGGTGACCCCTGTGGGGTCTGAACCCCCTCTGAACCCTCGGCCAGCCTGCCTGGCGGCACATTTTGGGAAGTTTTCCCCTCTTTTTGGGGGGATAATTGGGTCCTAGTTCAGCGGCAGGGGTGCTCTCGGGAGGCCCCCAGATTTCCAGGGGGTGCTGGGGGGCCAGCTGGGTACAGGGATGTGCTGGGCCCCGGGTGCTGCACCCCTCGGGTGGCACTGCTGGGGTGGGGGGACGGTGACACCCCGCTCTGCTGCGCTGCTGCTCCCTGCTATGCTGCACGGCACCGGCTTCCTCCGCTTCCCGGGATCGGCATCCGGCCACCTCTCAGCTCTCCGGGGCAATTCCCTCCTCCCAAAAACCATTACCTGCCTATCCCTGTCTGCTCCACGGTCCGCCCTCCTCTCCCGGGCCACCCCTCCAGGAGGTGGTGTCGCCTTTGGATGGGTCTCAGGGGGGTAGGGATGGGCACCTGGAATATAACGCTGGATGCAGCATCGCCCAGGGCTGGACCCCAGGGCTGGGGGCTGCCACGGGGCCCTCGTGCAAGAGAGGGTCCCCTCGGTGTGGCACAGTGCCCTGGGCACCATCCCGGCCTTGAGCAACTGGCAGCACCTCCCGGACCCCTCCTGCTGCATTTTGGCCCCGTCAAGGCCGTTTTTGTGGGGCATTGTGGCCACCTGGCTGCAGGAGCAGCGGGACCAGCATCCCCTGAAGTCCCCGGGGCTCCCCGGAACGGGGATCGAGTGTCTTTGCTTTATTTGTTTAATTAAAACCAAGGCAAGTAGGGCGGCCCAGGGGGCCCAGCCGTCGGGAGCTGGCACCCTCCACAAAGTGATTCCCTGGGGAAGCCCGGTGGCCGAGTGGGACCACGGGACAGCCGGGTGAGTGTTCCCTGCACCGCGCTTCGGCCTCATCCCCTCTCCCCTTTTCCCTCCTCCTCATCCCACCGGGATGTGCGGTGATCCCATAGGGGCTGCCCCAACCCCAGCCCACCAAACCCTCTCCTCCACCTCTCCACACCCAGGTCTCGGGCTTTCCCAGCAGCACGACCACCCTGGAGGACTCGGCCACACAGAGGCCCCTCCTCTGGTCCCCCCCGGGGTCGCTCCCTGCCGTCCCCGGGACAAAACATCTCCCGTGCGGCGCCTTTTTAGCCGCGGAGGGTCCCTGCGCTCAGGACGAGCCTCATCCCTCGGTGCCAAGGGCAGCCTGGCCGCCTGGGTGCCCGTTTTCCCCCGGTGAAGACATGGCCCCTTCCTCCTTCTCCTCCTCCTCCTCCTCCTCCTCCTCGAGGGCCGGGGCTCCGGGAGGCAAGAGCCGGCTCCGCGCGTAAGGATGTGTCCGCCCGGGAATCCGCCACGGTGTCGGCACCCAGGTGAGTGCCCCCGGCTCTCGGCCCAGCCCCGGCACAGGGGGGGGTCTCAGCAGCGGGGGGAGAGGCGCTGAGGGGGCTGTGGGAGCAACCCGGGGCCGTCGGATGCCCGCGGGGGAGAGCGGTGGTGAGCGCACGGGCCAATGCCGGGCGAGCAAGCTGGTTGGAATAAAGGATTGCTAAAGACACCGACCCGGTGGGCTTCTTTCCGCTGCCAACTCTCCTCTGCTCTTGTCTCGCCCGCCCAGGCTCCCTCCCTCCCCCGGTGCTGGAGCTGCTCTGAGCCCAGAAGCCCCTTCCCATCCCCAAACGGGCCTTCCCGCCTCGCTTCCTCCCTCAGACGTAGGAGACTGTCAGGTTACGGCCTCCGGGGGGGGCTGGGGCAGGGCCCCCCTCGCTGCTGGCTCCAGGAGGGATGCTCCTGTCTGGCACAGTGGGATGCTGGGGGGGCTGGTGCCGCTTGCTGCTGGTTCCCACTCCCCAAACCACCACCCTGCGGGAAGGGGGAGCGAGGGGGGAAAAAATGGGATGTGGAGCATCTCGGGAAGGGGGCGTGCTGAGACATCGGCGACAGGGACCCTGGGAAACCGTGGTGGGATGGGAGGTCAGCTCGGCCAGCAAGGGGTGATCCCGAACCCCTCCACTGCCATTCCCAGACTGGACACCCCCAGGAACCCCCGCAAAGCCCACCCTCATCCTCCCAGAGCCAGCCCCGCGCCTCCTCCTCCTCCTCCTCTTCCTCCCCGCAGAGCCGCTCGCCCCGGGCTGCCGAGGGGGCTCCCGGGGTGTTCCCCTCGCTGCTGCTTCCCCGGCTGTCGCTCCGCATGTGTCCCCCCCACACACACCCCCCGCCGCCCCCGCGCCCCCATCGCTCCCCCCCCTTCTCTCCCTCTCTCTTTGCAGAGAAGAAGCAGCAGCTGCAGCCCCCGAAATCTCGCCCGCCCGGCCTGAAGTTCCGCCTGCAGAAGCGGCTGCGGGGCCCGTCCTGAGCCGCTCCCTCCTCTCCATCTTTCTCAGGAACGCCGCGGCCCCGGAGCCGTGCGGGAGCACGGCGGGACCGAGCCGAGCCGTGCCGCCGGCCCCCCGGCAGCCTTTTGCTTGACAGAACTGGTTGTTGACCTTATTTTAAATTTTTTTTTTTTAACTTTTTTTTAAATTTTTTTTTTTTTTTTAATTTCCAAGCACCCCATCCCCTTGTTTTTTTGTCGTTTACCAGCTGACCTTGGTTTTTTTTTTTTTTTCTTCCCCCCACCCCACCCCTCCGATTTTTACCGTGTCTGTGACATCTCCTATCGATGAGTAAAGAGGGACCTCCCGCGTCCTGGTCTTTTCTTGTGCACCTTTGGTTGTCACTGTGTGTTTTTCTGCCTCCCCCCTCACCCCGTCCGTCCCAGCAGCAGGTAATGGTGGCACCCACGGGTGAGCCCATGGGAGAGGAGGACCCATCCCATCCCTGGATGGGGCTGGATTTGGGAGCAGGACGCTGGAGCTCTGCTTGCTGCTGGCCGTGGGCGCTTGCTTGGCTGGGTGCTCGGCGGAGGGCGTGGGGCTGGGGGGCCGGGGCACCGTGCCAGGCTGGAATACCCCATTCCAGGGTTTTCCCACCCCGCTCAGTGATGCCTCTGCTCTCTCCCAGACAAGGATGAGTGCTCCAAGAACAACGGGGGCTGCCAGCACGAGTGCCTCAACTCCTTCGGCAGCTACGAGTGCCAGTGCCGCAGCGGCTTCGTGCTGCACGACAACAAGCACGACTGCAAGGAAGGTGGGTCCAGCCCGCACCCCGTCCCTGTGGGTCGCCCCCATTCCATGCCTCTGTGACCCTTTTTGTTGTCCTGGCAGCCGGCTGTGACCACAAGGTGACATCCATCTCCGGGACCATCACCAGCCCCAACTGGCCCGACAAATACCCCAGTAAGAAGGAGTGTACCTGGGCCATCAGCACCACGCCGGGGCACCGCGTCAAGCTGGTAGGGACTGGGGGGGTGGGAAGTGCTGGGGTGCCCTCCACCGAGCCCCACTGAGCGCCAGCAACTCCATCCGTCACCTTCCCCAGACCTTCTCGGAGCTGGACGTGGAGGCGCAGCAGGAATGCGCCTACGACCACCTGGAGATCTACGACGGGAAGGACGCCAAGGCCCCGGCACTCGGCCGCTTCTGCGGGGCCAAGGAGCCCGAGCCCATCGTCTCCTCGGGCAACAAGATGTTCCTCAAGTTTGTCTCCGACAACTCCGTCCAGAAGAAGGGATTCGAGGCCACCCACACCACAGGTAGCGCCGTGGGGCTGGGAAATGTGGCTGTGGGGTGTGCGGAGATCATGAATGCCCCTAAACCCCAGCTTCTCCCCCAGTGTGCGGGGGCCAGGTCCGTGCTGAGGTGAAGACCAAGGACTTGTATTCCCACGCACAATTCGGGGACAACAACTACCCGGGGGGCTCGGACTGCGAGTGGGTGATCATGGCGGAGGAGGGGTTCGGCGTGGAGCTCATCTTCCAGACCTTTGAGATCGAGGAGGAAGCCGACTGCGGATACGACTACATGGAGCTCTTCGACGGCTACGACGGGACGGCCCCGCGCCTCGGCCGCTTCTGCGGCTCCGGGGTGAGCTGGGGAGGAAGGGGGACGTGATGTGGGGTTGGATTAGCGTTAGGGTTGGGATTAGGGAAGGTTAGGGTGGTGTGAGGGTGTAGGGTGACGGGTGAGGCCGAGCCAGAGCAGCGCGGAGAAATCCCCGTCGGAATTCAGGATGGTGCAATGATTTGCACCCTCCCCATTGCAAACCCCTTCCCTCCCACCGTGCCCACGCATCCCGGGAATGCCCACGGATCCGAGCACCCCTTCCTTTGCCCTCGCAGCCCCCCGAGGAGATCTACTCGGCCGGAGACTCCGTGATGATCCGCTTCCACTCGGACGACACCATCAACAAGAAGGGTTTCCACCTTCGCTACACCAGCACCAAGTTCCAGGACACGCTGCACACGAGGAAATGAGGGCCGGGGGTCCCGGCCCCCCCGCGGGCAGGGGAGGAGGAGGAGGAGGGCAGGGAGGAAGGCGGGGAGCGCTGCTGCCCCGCACAGACTGCACGGAGGAGGAGCACACAGCCAACCTCAGCACTCAAGACACGCTCGCACGGGGCGCCGGGGCTCGGGCGCCCACGGCACGGGGGGCACCGGGGGGGTCCCCACTGGCAACCACCCACCCCGGTGCTGGGGGGGCCGAGTGGGACCTGCTGCCCTTCCCTGCCCCGGCCGAAGCTCTGAATGTACAAACCAGTAACCGGGAAGAGCCCAAAACACACACAAGGTGCTGTCTCTCTCTTGTACCCATGAAATAAATACCCTTGTACTTGGAGCGGGGCAGCCCCGGCCTCTTTGCTTCCACCCCAGGAAAACGGCATCCAAAAAATGGGCCTGGAATACCGGGGGGGAGAGCCCCCAGCACCCTGCATGGACCCCCATCCTCGGGGTGGACCCCCATCCTCAGGGCTCTGATGGAGCAGAGCCAGCAACCCTGAAGGAGCAGCCGGACCGTGTCCCAGGGATGGTGGGATCAGCGTGATGGGGTCTGTCAGAGCCCCCCATTCCCTCAGGACTCTGCAGGCAGGTGCTCCCCCCACACACACACCACATCTCACCTCCCCAGCAGCACCCTGGTGTGGGTGGGTGGGTGCCACGTGCCGTGCCCACCGCGGGCCGTGCCCACCGCGTGCTCCCTCCGGCGCGTCCCCGTGCCGGTGGCAGATGGCGGGTGGGCTGTGACACGGCCCCCGCGCCCACCGCGTGCTCCCTCGTGCCTCCCCTCCATCCCGAGCTCTCTGCCGGCGCAGAGTGTGTGTGTGAGGGTGTTAGGATGGGGCTGGGATGCTCTGGAGCAGCTGTTTCCAGGAGGAACGGCGGCAGGCAGCGGGGCTTTGCATCCAGAGGGGTTTTCAGTCCCGATGATGGAAAGAGGGGGAATTTGGGGAGTGTTTCAGCCTTTCAGCGACAGGACAAGGAGTGATGGCCCATAAACTTAACCACAAATATCTCTCCAAGGGATGCCAGAGGACGGTGCCAGACTCTTCCCAGTGGTGCCCAGCGATGGGACAAGGCCACAAACTGAACCACAACTTGAGGAAGAACTTCTTTCCCTTGAGGGTGGCAGAGCCCTGGAACAGCTGCCCAAGGAGGGGGTGGAGTCTCCCTTTCTGGAGACATTCCAAACCCACCTGGATGTGCCCCCACCTGCTCCGGGTGACCCTGCCTGGGCAGGGGGGTTGGACTGGATGATCTCCTTCCATCCCAAACTTTCCTGTGGATCTGCGAGCTGGCGAGGGCAGGAGGGTTACCCGTGGCCGCCTCAGCACCTTGTCCCCTCCCAGTCCCATCCCTCCTTTCCCTGAGCTGGACTTTGTGGGGGGTCTGGAGCCACTGGCCGGGGTCCTGGCGGGGGACAGAGGCGCGTGACACGGCCGGTGGCGACCGCACAGAGTTTATTGAAACACCTCCAGCACAGCACAGGGATGCTCGGGGGGACGGGGGGAGTTGTTGTTCTACAGCGTGCAGGGGGTACACAGAGATGGGGGGGTGGGCACCCCGCGGGGGGGGAAGGGGTGGGCGCCCCGGGGGGGCCGCACGCAAGCGCCATGCTGCCGACGGCTCATGCGGGGGGGCGGCGGGGTGGGGGGGCACGGGGTGGGGGGGCTCAGCTCCACTCCCCTATTCCCCAGCTCCTCCGGCTGCCTCCGGGGCCACGGTTTGGGCAGCACAGGGTGGCAGAGCAGAGAGGGACAGCACGAGGGGTCCCCCACACCGCTGCAGCCCCCACTGCAGGAGGGGGGGGGTCCCTGTCTGAGCACCCCGCTGTCCCAGGAGCAGCCTAAAACCGGGGGTGCTTCCAGCCTCTCCACTGAACCCCCTGGGGTGGCCAGGGAGCCCCAGTCCCGGCTGGCAGGACCGGGGCTCCCCAGGAGCTGCACAAACCCGGGGTCAGGGGGATGCAGGGGACACCGGAGGGGAAGGGGGTCCCGCAGCAGCTGCGCGGAGAAGGGCAGAGCGCGGGGCTCATGCCAGCGAGGGTGATGCCGGTCGGCCAGTCCAGGAGATGAAGGCTTCTTCCCTCGGGGCACAGAGCAGCACGGTGGGCTCTGCCTCCCTGCCGGGCGAGCATCCCGCCGGCTCCTTCCTCGTGCCCACCCGCGTCCTCCGCCCACCAGTGTCCGTGGGAGAAGCCCCCAGGGCGGGCACCCGTCCCCCTGCCCGGCCCTGCCCGCCTCCTCCTCCTCCCCCCTTTAACGCCCCACGCTGATGTTGCACGTCTTGCAGCTGGGGTCCTTTTTGGCGTTGGCGGTGGAGAGGCTCATGAGCTGGTGGCCGCTGATCTCCCCCAGCACGCCCAGGGCGAGGTCCACGGGCTCCGTGTATATGACCTCCAGGATGCTGTCCTGGGCATGGCGGTACACCAGCTCGCCCTCCTCCACGCAGCACGTCAGGAACTTGTTGGAGGAAATGTCCAGCTGGGGGAGGCGCTCCCGGCAGAAGAGATCCCCGGAGGAGCCCTTGGGCGCCAGGACCAGCACGACGTAGTGGTAGGCGGTGTACATGCAGTAGAAGTCCGCGAAGTAGAGGTTGGTGTTGGGGTTGAAGAGGCGCTGGGCCGGGATTTGGAAGCGGTACCGGCCGTAGGGCGAGTCCTGGGGGGGCTGCCCGGTGTTGAACTCGGTGTTGCAGCTGAAGAAGATGCCGTGCAGCATCCCGCTGGTGGGGGAGCCGTGGCTCCCGCTGTTGTCCTTCAGCGACGGCTTCATCACGTTCCCGCAGTGCATCCTGGCGCGAGGAGGAGGAGGAGGAGGAGGAAGAGGAGGAGGAGGGACACACAGATAGGCACAGGCAGGGTCAAGGGGTGCGCCCTGGGAGTGGGGGGAGTGGGGAATGGGGGCTGGGGGTACCTGACGTGCTGGAAATACTCCTTGTGCTGGTTGCGGTAGAAGACGGAGAAGCGCAGCATGCGGCCGGCGATCAGCTCTGCCTTCTCCTGCAGCTGGGCCAGGTGCTCCTTGGCATAGTCTGGGGGCAGCGATGGGGACATCAGGGCGTCTCCATCCCCCTCCGGCAGCCCTTCCCTGCCCGCAGCTCCCCGCACCTCCCGCCTCCCACTCATCAGCTGCCGCTCCAACCGGCCCGGCTTGTGCCAGCTCCCGGCATCGCCCCCGTCCTCCTCCGGGCTCCTGCATCCCGGCACTGCCCCCGTCCTCCTCCTGCCTCCCAGCTCCCAGCATCAACCCCATCCTCTTCCCAGCTCCAGGCTCTCTGTATTGACCCCACTCTCCTCCGAGCTCCCAGCTCCCAGGATCATCCCCATCCTCCTTCTCGGCTCCTGACCCCCAGCATTGACCCCCTCCTCTGTCCCGGCTCCTGGGAAGGCCCCCATCCTCTGTCTTGGCTCCCAGCTCCAGGCATTAATCCCCTCCTCTCTCCTGGCTCCCAGCATTGCTCCTTTACTCCCTCCTCGTTCTGGCTTCCAGCATTGCCTCCATCCTCCTCCCAGCTCCCAGCGTCGTCCCAGTCCTCCTCATCTTCCCAATTCCGAGCCTCCCCCGTCCTCCCTCCTGGCTCCCGGCTCCCAGATTTGCCCCTGTTCTCCTCCAAGCTCCTGGCTCCTGGGATCGCCCCCATCCTCCTCCCAGCTCCCGGGTGGCCCCCATCCTTTTCCCAGCTCCGGGCATTGCCTGCGTCCTCCTCCTCCTCCTCCCAGCTCCCAGCACTGTCCCCGTTCTCCTCCTGGCTCCCGGGAGGTCCCCCATCCTCCCTCCCGGCTCCGGGGATCGCCCCCATCCTCCCTCCCAGCCCCGGGCCGCCCGTGTCCCGCTCACCCCCGGTGCAGAACTCCACGGTTTCGCTCCAGCCGGACACCAGGTACTCCCCGTCGCTCTGTTTGACGGCCGTTTGCACGGCCACGCTGTACTCGGTGCGGGGGCTCAGGAACCAGTGCCCCCGCACCGTCATGGGCAGCGGCACCGCCTTGGCCACCAGCTTGGTGGGGACATCCTGTGCCGGGGGGCGGGGGTCAGGCGGGACAGCATCGCACCGCCCCAAACCCCCCCCCCGCGCCCAGGGGATGGTGCCAGGGACCGAACCCCCCCCAAACATCCACCTCGGGGCACCCAAAACACCGCGCTGACACGTCTCCTGCTGCCCCCCCCCAGCTCTGTCCCTCCCTCCCCGTCCCCGCACAGCGATGGGGGCACAGGGTCCCCCCCCGGAGGGCGGGGGTCTCGGGGACCCCCCGCTCCCGGTGGCATCTCGCGGTGTCAATAGGCCACGGAGCAGCTCCGCAGTGCAGAGCCGTTTCTGTGGCAACGGCGGATGCTGAAGTCGGGAGATAGAGGGGGAAAGAAAATATCCCACCCCCCCACCCCTTATTATTGGGGAGGAGAGAAAAAAATAATGTTAAACATTAAATAGCATCACCGTGGCAACGGCGCTGCTAAAAACGGCCCCGAATTAGTGACTCGCTGCACGGGGAGGGGGAGTGGGAGAGGTTTGTGGCTCTGCTCCCCCGCGGGGGCTTGGGAAGGGGGTCCGTCACCCCCTGATCCCCATCCCAGTGCCCTCCACCAGCGTGTCCAGAGTGGGGAATGACCCCAATCAGCGTGGGAGTGGGTTAAAAGCCAGTTCCCTCTCACCAACCCCATCTCCTCACCCCGGACAGGGGGTCCCACATCCCCCCCCCCCCGCTCCGGGCTCACCCGGTGTTTGAACTTGTTGGAATTCTTGTTCTCCTTCTTGTTGAGGTCGATGAAGTAGTGAGTGACCCTCTCCAGGTCCCCCTTCTCCATGGCCCAGGAGATGCGGAAGGAGTCGCAGGTGATGTTGTTGATCTCGATGTTCTTGGGGGTGGAGAGCAGCTCCATGGCCGGAGGGGCTGAGCTCCTGCGGGCACGGCGCGGGTTTTGGGGGGGTGCCGAACAGCCCCCCGAGCTGCCCACGTCGGCAGCTGCCGGGGCCGCTCCCCCCGCGGCGGAGCAGATGGCACCGGGGGGGTGGAAAAGCGGCCGGCAGCCAGGAATAGGCAGCGCGCAGGCAGGAGCAGGCAGCGGGACGCCGGGGAACAAGCCCGGTCGGGTGCGGGGGCCCCGGCCGCTCCCCCGGGTGCCGCGGGGCCCCGGCGCGACGCCAGCGGGGGTTTCGGGGTTTGCTCAACACCCGGGGTGGGGAAAGAAAAACAAGGGGAGCCGAGGGAGTGCTGGGAGAGAGGGGAGGGTTGGACGCGGGCACTGGAAAAGCTGGATCCGCCTTTTTGCCCCGGCCCGTGCCTCAGTTTCCCCCCCTTCGCTGCGCCCCCCCAGGGAGCCGCTCTGAGGGGTGGGGGAC